TTAAGTTTACAGTCATCACTCATTGTTATTTTCATTTCGTTCTTTCCTTAAATCTAGCGCCTTTTTCACCCCCGAGTTAGCCTCGTTAACCCATCGGAATTCATTTAACGATTCCGTGTGCATTAAAAATATTGGAATTTTCAATCCATACCTTTAATCTTGACGCCTTATGCTCAGTGCTGACTTTGACTTCAGCTTTCAGGTGCTCTTCAAAAGATATGAAAACTGACAAATTTCGCCCCTTTTTTCTGATGTTATTCCTGTTTCGAGCTTTGTGGCGATTAGGCGTCGTAAAGCGCCAAAGAGCGCTATAAAAGCGACTCATATGTATGTATTCCTGTTTCGATGTTTGTAACCTCCCTCTCCTCTTCCCCCTTCTCACCCTCCCTCCCTCTCTCCTCCTTTCTAAAAAAAGTCTTGCCATTTTGGCGCCCCCCCTGAAGTGGCGCCCGGGGCACGTGCACCCACTTGCCCCCCCCTAGATCCGGCCCTGGCAGAAAGAGAATCATTTGAATTTCGGGACAGTTTTAGTTTTTACAGTCTCAAAGTTTCATTTGCGATCTTCAAAAACAAAGAAGAAAATCTAACACGAAGAAAAAGCATGCGGGAAAATGAGCTTATTTACCCCGCATGCCTTTTCTTTGCGTTAGATTTTCTTCTTTGTTTTTGAAGATCGCAATTGAGAACTGTAACAACTTTAAATGTCCCGGTTTTCAAATTATTTTCTTTTTGCAGCCTTTTCCCGAGTAGGTGAATCTGCCAATTGTCGTGTATATTTGCACTAATTACGCTATTTTCATTCTTTACATGTATATCTTACACACACGCACACACATCTTACACATATCTCATACAACATACCCATCTCTCACATATATCTTTGTATTATTTTCCCTAGATTTTGCGGGACATAAAGAAGCACTACAAAAAACAGCCGTCTCTGATTGAAATCAATGTACCGAGGGGCCGAAACATCACCGTCGTAGGGGATGTCCATGCTCACTTCAGTGAAATAGTTAAAGTGTTCAATGTTAGCGGTTTTCCCTCGGAGACGAACTACTACCTCTTTAACGGTGATTTTGTCGATCGAGGAGATGACGATTTGCAAAATGCGCTCACTATCTTTGGGTTCAAGCTTTTGTACCCGAATTCGTTTTTCATCAACCGTGGTAATCACGAGGATAGAAATCAAAATTCGTATGCAGGTTTCGATAAAAGTTGTAATAGGATTTACACCCAGCCGATAACAGATGCGTTCCACGTAAGATAATGCATAATTTCAACATTAATTCAACGAACCCACGTAGCATTATTCAACGGAATAATTGCGATGTTTTGAAATTAAGTTACGATTGTTTAACGATTATTTGGCGATGAAATCGATAGGATCATCAAAATCTAAGCGATTATCCTCGATCTTATCGCAATTTTATCTCTATAAAGTTGCATTCGATAAAATAGAAATTTTGTCTCAATATATTACGATTTTTTGTTCGTTAATATTGCGATACATCGCTGTGGATAAATGGCGATTTTAATGCAAATTTATGGGATGAAATTACAATTGATCGCAGTTTTTTATTCGATGAAATTGCAATAAATCGACGTTGGTAACACCGCGCAATAAGAATAATAACCACGCAATAAAGGATTACTTCTCAAACAGAAATGAATTCAATTCTCGGTGTTCCATGCAGTCATCTTAAAAAATGCATCTTAAGAACAATTTATCCACCTAAAAAAATTCAAAAGTGAAGTTGTTCAGTATTCAATGAGCATATGCCCGGTCAAGTAAAGAGAAAACGGGAAAACGACATTGAAAAAATAAAAGCGGTTAGGGTGGTGGTGATTAATTTAAGGAAATTTTATTCTCTTTTCAAGTTTACTCCCCATTTTTCTACCTAGTTATCTGTTACAAGTTATCCCATCACTTTCCCGAACGAAAAAATTCCATGAAATGTATGAAAATGTCAATCATTTTTTGTCACTCATTGACCCATGTATCTTAATATATGAGTGTGTCGAATAAGTTTTGGCTCGCTGACATATCTTAAAAATTTGAAAATCATATGTAGGATGTATGGACATGGCTACCGCTGGCGCATCGGATTAACGAGAAAGTTTTGGTCGTACATGGAGGTTTGTCGCCGCATAAGAACGTCACGTTGGACGACATACGACGAGAGCCGAGGGGTGTCGATCCGAAAACATGGTCAGATGAATTATACCTCCTAAGAGAGAGAGATGATGTTTTTGATCTTGATTTTAAGAATAGAGTTTACAAACCCGATGATAAACTCCCACCACCGTATCAAAATGAAAGTAAGTATCGTAAAAAACATCTTAATTATGGAGAGGAAATGAATTAAGTCGATATAAAGGATGAGTCAAGTGTTAGCTTTTGGAGAGGACCCAAAAAAGGCAGGGTACGACCACTCGAGCGGGTATTTCTTTTTCTTTTTTTTCGCATGTATTCATACTCTTTTACGTGATTCAGTAATCCGGATTCGTGTGAAGAGGAAACGACTATACCTAAGATTAACTTTTCGAACCTCCTGATCAAATATTTTTTAAAATGCGGTAACATAATAAAATGCAATACAATAAATTTCTTACAATATTTCTTTCTTTTTCTTTTTCTTCTTCTTCTTTTTCTTCTTGTCCTTCCTCTTTTCTTCTCCAAATATAGTTTTACTTTTTAATTTCATAACCTTTTTTTAAAATATTTCAGGCATAATGTTGAGCCTTCTCTGGGCTGATCCCATGGACAAGAATGGAGTAGCTTTCAATGGTCAAAGAGGGGGATGCACACGTTTTGGACCAGACATAACCGAGAATTTCTGCAAGCGCAACAAAATCGAATTCGTAATTCGCTCACATGAGCCAATTGATTCACCCTCTTTTGAGGGTTACTACCTGAAACACGGAGGTCGTATCATTACCATTTTCACCGTCGCCGGCTATTGCCATCAAGAAAGTAAGGCAGCCATAATACAGATGCAAGCACCCGATATGAAGACGCACATCATAGTGTGGTCAACAGAAGAAAGACAGGAAGCTTTCGACTCATTTGTCCACGAAAAAGTTAAACTAAAGTAAAAATATTAGGAATATAGAAACTGATACGTTGCAAAAGTAAATGAGTTCACTTATATATCGGCTTCTAGTACATCTACGAGTAAGAAAAAAAGTCCATCGATAGCGAAGTGATGTTAACTATTTATGTACTCAATGTATATAATTAAAGCATGCTTATATGTAGAACGCATTATAGTATAATATCATTATGGTCTGCTTAAGGATGTAAAATTGTACCATAGTAATGAATTACTTTTTTTATTACAAAATCTCTTGGAAAGAGGGTTTTTGGAGGTGCTATCTGCGTAGATGGGTTTGAATCCAGTCCTCGAAAACCAAGGATATGAATTTCTATTATCATCAGTAATTTGAAATTTGAAAATATTGCATGGTATAGGGAATTCATAATCACCAACCTTGAATTAGTACTCTCCATTCGGGCAAGACCAAATGTGGGAGCATATAGTAATTACTATAGTGGGCTTATTTTAATCGGGAAATCCAAGACTAAATAATAATCGAAGCGCGAGATGTATTACGATTGTGAGGAGCTTGTTCCGCCTTCATTTACAGATCAGGCAACAAGTCCTACACTGATTCTCAAAAGATGCCCGAATGACGAAGCTAGAGGGAGACGCATGCCGTGCATTACTGACGCTTTGGTAAAGAAAAATATTTACCTAATTAAATTTGATCAATATCAAGGAATGGACGTAACTTTCAAACCTATTTATAATTCATTTGAAAACTGTTCATAATACTGCTTTTATCCATCCTATATCAACTGCCAATCGCAAGCATTAGGTGAGCCGCGTTCACATCCTATTTGTTTTTCTTTTATTTTCTTTACTTTATTTTAATGTCACTTGTGCATCACTGGAAAAAAAACACGTTGAATCTAGAGTCCAGACTCTTAAAAACATCGACAAGAAAAAATATTCTTGATTCAATCGGATTTTTGCTTAAATCAAGAACCAAGCCTCTTAATTTGAGCGGATTTCTTTTTGATGTAAGCAACAATCTGATTGAATCTAGAGTATTTTTTCTTGTCAATGTTTTCAAGAGTCTGGACTCCAGATCCAATGTGCTTTTTTTCCAGTGATGACTCCATGAACACTTGTGGAATTGAAATCGTCTGTTGTCTAGACCGGATTATTCAAGACTCATGTCCGTCCACAGACACCATATCATTCAAAAATTGTCGTTTGCCAGACGAAAGAAAGTGCCATGCATCTTTACACTGCAAAAGTTTTACTCGTCTCCTTAATGTATGTTTAGAAGAAAACTGCTGGGCGTTTCTAGCTGAAAATTTCGTCATTTTTTTCTGGTCACGTATAAATTTTATCACAGAAACTGCTGTCATATGTTCGGAAACTTGTAATAATCGTTGGAGCCAATTTTGCAACTGTAGAATGAAGTCACGTTTCTTTGTCTGGGAAACGATGAAATATCCAGTAATCTTATTTTGAAAAATTAACGTATTATTCACAGTTAGAAATACCTCATCAGAGATAAGTGTTTTCCTAGATTAACTATGAACGTGTGATTTCGTCGCAGGATAAATTCTAGCATCGGAGCGGTTTAACTGTCAATCAGATTTCGAGGTTGCACATGCACATCCTCGGATACACTCTAAATGCCTTCATTTCAATTAATATGCAATTTGATCTCCGGGAAGTTAAAATAGTTGCTCGAGATCGAAACGGACTTTCAGTAACTGTGCAGCACTCCCTATTAGATGGCGCTAGGTTGCAGATAATCAGATTCTCTGAAAACTTGATCATTTTGTTGGATGTGCAATGTGAACTCCGCGAGGTCAAAATGGATGTTGAGGGTAAAAGTAGTCTCTCGGTAACGGTGAGGTGCCTTCATTGAGATGGAAAGGTTTACACGCCGTCGCGCGTCGGATGCACTGAAAGTTCCTTCATATTGTAGGGTATGCAATATGATCTCCGGGACGTTAAAATAGTTGCTCGAGGATTTTTATCAACTGCACGGCGTCGGCGTGAAGAGGGCATCTTCGCCAGGCAATGCGTTATCTCGAGTATACTTTTACTTTCTCAAGTATGCTTCGTAAAGTCCGTTTTCCTACAAAGTTCTAATTGAACTCATTTTTCGCCGGGACACTCAGAACAATAGGATCCATTGCAATATAAAAGAAAACAGCTTCCTCGATAATTCATCCTTGCTCCTTGGAAATGTTCCTCTCGCCGCACGAAACTGACTTATTTTGCCGAGTAAAACTCTTCCAGTGACAACGAAACATTTCTAGTCACAACGATATTTTTTTCATTTAAATAATGACCAGAAAATTTTCTTTGGGACGTTGTCAAAACTAAAATTTTACTTGCGGTCAATTTACAAAAAAATTCGTCTCCTCGACGCTACGATTTTTCCACTCAACTTAATTGATAAACCATCAATGAAATTAATTTCACTCGTTGTAACGAATTCAATTTGCCCCGCTAAATCTGCCGGGTTGACAAACTTATAAACTAGTCGAATTTCTGGTCATTCTGTGGAATTAATAATTTCCCAGATGCAGCGTAACGTAGGTAATGCCTCGCCAATCAAGTGGCCGGCACGGCGAGGCGCCTCCAACAAAGGGAGAACATAGAGGTAAATATTCACGCGTGTTAAAGCGGTCTTGAAGAGTTGTCAAATCGGACAAAAATAAGTTCAGATTTACAAATATCATCCTACGAATAACCAACCAACTGCTACAGTTTCCTCTATGCAAGTATAATACGAAGACATAGTTCCTCAGAGTTTACCGTACATCGATGGTGTAAACTTGAGGAACGCGCATTTCGAAGTTTCGATAGCGTTTTAAAATTTTCACTTACTTTAAATTTTTTAGAGATGAACATCAAAATTTTAAAAGTATTCTTGTTTCAAAAAAAAAAAAAAAAAAAAAAAAAAAAAAAAAAAAAAACAAACAAACAAACAAACAAACAACACAAAAACACATCCCTTGATGATGGGGTGATGGTTTTGTTTAAAAGTCAGTAGGAATACATGCAAATGCTTCATACTGATTACTTCTCCAGTTGAATGTGCATCAATCAGGTTAGTGTACTATCGCATTTTTATAGGATGTATTATTATTAAATGAGGTAGGAGAGGTTTTCTTTTCCATCCGTGAATTTTTACTTACAAGAAATACTTAAATGGTCGGGTGCACCTGAAAACTTTCACGCACTTTTATCGATGTTCCAAAAACTTAAAACCAGCATCATTAAAATTAAATGAGGTGTTGAATACAATCTGGGTTCCGTCATCCGTTCATAGGAGATACATTCAACATTAATTTAAGATCGAGCTACAACGCATCATAGGATTTGCAAACTTATTTCATATTTTCACTTTGCCATCTCCTTTAACCAACTTGATTTTTGTCTTTATCCACGTACATGAGCAACTACCTGCATGGGGAAACTTATGGCATATGATTTGTTTCTAAAATGAATCGGAAACAGTAATTCCTCATCTCAAAATGTGGTAAGTTTTTAAAGTCTTAAAATTGGATTATATTAAGTACGAAACTTCCGTTTCTAGCGCATCCATGTAAAAATACACGCACACAGAGAAATTACCGGTACATTTGTTCTTTCTAAAACGAGCCAAAAATAGCAGTTCCTTACCGCAAAATGTAGTCCAACTGATCCAGTATCAAATGCTGATTTTCTCTCGGACGGACATTACGGCCGAGGGAGGCCTGTTGGAGTGTTCCGTGCTTGTTTATCAAACTTGCAGGTGCCGCGGAGCCGACAACTTTGGAAGCCTTGATGCGGCCGAGGCATGCACATTGTAGTGGCTTGTTAAGCCCACACATTGTGGCTCTCTAATCCATATTTCAAAAGGGATGCGGAAAATAATGTTACCGTTAACGCCATACGTACTTTATCAACTTGGTCCAACTTTCGTGATTAAAGATCATCCGATAGGGGTCCTCTCTCCATGCTTCAAGTAGGGACAGGCTCACTCCGTTAATTTGCAAAATTGTTCCTTAAATTATGTAACATAGTTCCTCGATGATTTTCCTGGATTTAGGGAAAGTGAGAGGTTGGGTCACTCGGTGAGTTATGCTGCCGTGCAAAGCGAAAACGCCATAAACGCCATTTTACATTTTTTTGGAGACACACTGAAAAAAAAAAAAACTCGGTGTATTTACTAAGAAAAGGGTAAAATTACCAAGTTCAGGGTTCTATTTGATCCCAGTTTTTTCTTGGTAAAATTACCATTTATGGTAATGGTAATTTTACTGAGAAATCTCGGTAAAATTATTGAACTTTCTCGGTAATTTTACTGGACCTTGGTAAAAACGCCAATATTTTTTATTGACTGTGGTAGAATTACCGAGAAAAAATGGCAAAGTTGCCGGGAATTGATTACCAATAAAAGTTGTATTCTTACCTGAAAAAAACAGTAAAAATACCAGTTTTTAGGTAAGCTTACCAGTCTGTCTTGGTAAAATTACCAATGATTGGTAAAAAAAAGTGAGATGGTAAAGGTACCAACGGACCTTTGTAAAAACGCCGAGATTTTTTTTCAGTGCAATGTATAATAGCAGAAAAACTTGTGTACCTTAGGACTATGTTTTTACGAAATTCTTTTGCAAGTACTATCAAGAACTTAACCTGAAAATTTGAGGTGCGTGGGTAAAACAGTTTTTATTTTATAAAGTGTTACGTTCCAAAAAACGAGGGAAAATCTCGACGGATTTACGGCGTTCTTGCTTAGCACGGCAGTACGGACGTCATAGCTTGGATAAAATAGGTTAGATAGGTTGGCTTTGAAGTGGTCAATGAATCTCCAAACCTTCACGTGGTGCGCCAAAACAATGCTTTGAATCCTTTTGATTCAGCCTTTTGAAATACTATGGGCATTCGCAGTCAGGCCCGCCACATCCCACCTCGGGCCCTGGTACTAGTTTTAAGGTCCGGGCCCCAAGCACGGAGGGGGGAGGGGGGCCGAGGGGCATCCCCCGAGAAATTTTAGAATTTATACGACTAATCGGACGCATTGTGAAGCTTCCATAAAGAATTTTTCCATCAATTTCTGCGGAACAATTATGTTTTTTTTCCTACATTCAGCACAAAATACTTGCGAATTGTTGCATTCAAAACATCAGGAAAATTTTCATTTTTTTTGGGGGGGGGGGCATATGATACTACTTTCAGTTCTAATAGGGTACTTTCTAATAGGGCCAGGCCCCCCTGGACTCCCCCTTCGTTTGTCTATG